ATTTGGCGCTTTCTGTACTAAAATAACTTTTTGGAACAAATTTCGCACTAAACTCTATCTTGTTAGCTGTGCTCGGCAGAACTGTCATTTTTTCCTGAACTATTTTTTCGAATTTCCTCCGCCTCCTTCTATACGTATGATCTATCTGTTTTATTTAGTCCCTTATGCGTCGTTCTCGATGTCACAAAAAGTTCGGCGATATGCTTTAGTATGTTTCTAAAGAGAACTTCTCCGTAATGCCTACGCCACTCCTGCCCGTAGGTTGCTTTCGAATAGTTCTTTGGATGTCCTTGTACGGGGCCACCAACTATTTTCGATGCCTTGCGTGTCGGCCCCTATGTCTGAGTGTACGAAGATTAGGCTGGTCGTAGCCCTCCTCTCGGTTCGGCGGTAAATGGAAAACGTTTCGTCGGTTCGTCCCACTGGAAAATCCCCAGAAAAAGTGGAAAATCTAAAAACTGGTAGGCTCGTTTTTCCGGTTGGAACGTTCCAAACGGAATTGCGGGTTCAATTTACACGTTTCTGGTAGTTTATACCAGTTCCAGGTCCACGGCAAAAACATCTGTCACGGCCAGTTCGCAAAACAAAATGGCTTCCCCGAGCCTTCACTCATGTACCAGTGCACAGTTTGTTTTTTTTGCTACCCCCTCCAAATGACCAGAGGCACACTGGCAAAAACTGTGCAGAGACGTAGCAGCTACAGGAAGCATTCTGCAAGGAAACCGCTTTGGAAGACCACAATTCCTGTCGAGTGACAGGTTTTGGCTCTTGTTTGGTTCATGGCTAATTCAGAAGTGATGAGATCCGTTTCGGATCGGTTTAACGTAACGCTGAGTAGGTTGTTCAGGATTATTCAACGAGTTAAAAGTTGATGTAGCTGCGACTACATTAATGTCTTCTTCCTCATCAAAACCAAATAATATTTCAACCTCTTCATCTACCAACTCGGCAGCCATCTTGGTGTTCCGTCGGGTAACGGGCACCGCGCCGGGGTTTACGACCAAATGGAAAAACTTTTTACCAATCGGAAAATCCACAAGGTTTCATTTCTGACCAATCAGCAACAACGTTGATAAAAGCGCGCGAAAACTCGACTCATGTCAGTCACGCATTCTCGTCATAAGTAGGCCGAGCAAGCGTGCACATTTACTGAGGTCTAATTTATACTCCTCGAGTTGATTAATAAATCTCTTATTGGACGGTCTAGTGTGTAGTATCGTGGGATAGTTTTACTCGTCTCTTGTATTTTGACTTGCCCTACGGGCTCGCCAAAATACAGCGTGACCCGTAAAAATGTCCCACGATTCTACGCACTAAACCGTCCAATAAGATATATCTATTGGTAGCTACTAGTAGTAATAATAAGTTAATGAGTGCGTTCGAGTTTTCTTAGCTCCAGATTAGCTTTTGTGTTGTCAAGCATTATTTCAAAATCATGGAAGAGATCATGAATTAAAAGGTAAACATTCTTTTCTTAAAAAATGCTCTTCGCGTATACGGCTTCAAAATATCTCACTCATTAACTCTTTACTCCTAACATGTCTTACTCTCCCTCGAGCATGGTCGATAAAAATGTAAAGTAGATCGTAAAAAGTTCTATGTTGTTAAAAAGATAAACATGTCACTACAAACTTCAAAAAAGGGTAGCCTTGAAAATTAAAAAGTCCTGGCTTCTTGCGTGACACAACTTGAAGTGAAAACAATGATCATAGGAGCGACGGAAACACATTAGGTTTTTGCTAGATTACTGATGTCAGAGAACCGGACAGAAGCTTTTGCCATTGTGCAAACTATTCACCTCATGATTATTGTAAGTTCATGTAGGTCAGTTCAACATGTTTTAAACTTAGCTTGCTTCAGCGAGCGAGATACTTATCATGTAAAATGGCCCGCGTAGATATATCAGACGTGAATAAAGCATTACAGTTGTAACAACCTGCACTGATACGCTCAAGCTCACTTTATTCCAGAATATTTTTCGTGCATGTAACAGGTTAAACTACAAATATGTAAATAGTCTCAAACGCACGGGTAAACTTCTCACGGCACAAATGTTACCTGGTCTATATTGTGTGTTTCTACGAAGTTCCAGCTCGATTTGAACGTCTGAAATCTGCCGAAATCATCAGCTCAGTGATAAGACCCGCTTAGAAAACATCTCTAAAGTTCATTCTTTTGCCGATTCCTCGTCAAGTAACAAAGGTTTCTTTCTTGCATGGTTTTTACTGAAATTGGAGTTGATAAATCAACCGCAAATTAGGAAATCAGGATCACATTTCACCCAAATAAAATACTTTAGTTGAGAAAACTCACTATAATGATAATTTCCACTATTTTTTTTTCTTGAAGAAGTCAGTAATTTTAAATACTTATGCTTCGGAATTTTTACAGCTTGCTAAACACTCGAAAACACACACAAAAAATAATACTCAAAGGCGGTCCAAGTTCGGTGTATAAACTAGGGGTACCTTCCGGCAAGTGCCAACGAGGCGAATTCGTTTATCTTTAGTGGAATGTGCCTATTCAGATCTTCGCGGTATTTTTGTCATAATTTTAGAGGTTTAAGATGGATTCCGCAAAAGAAAAGGTTGGCACCCAACATCAAAACAACAACTTTGGCAAATTTTAGGCTTTCACTTTTATTGAGCAATCACAACATGGCATGAAGCTTTGTTGGTAAATATGAGCAAGTTAGCACTTATGTTTCTTGGAAAATTCCATTATATCAAAACTATAAACGTTAGAAAGAAAAATATAATTTAAATGAGGCCTTTGACTGCTGAAATTAAAAATAATAATTAAATTCCGAGCAACAGCGTCATCAGGGATAAGAAAAATATTTCGCGTGGTAATAATTGGTGTAAAGTAAAATGTGTGAAAAGCGCAAGAATGGGGCGGAATGTATCAGAGGTATAAAAATATAAACTTGAATAAAATACAAGGATTTAATGAGCGAGAGTCACAGGACAAAGAGTCTCTTGAAAGGCATAATGATAGTCTTCAAAACAAAAGGTCCGCAAAATCGTTGCATTCCTCACGGGAACTTTGGGCTGTCTCCGTCAATGTAAATCGAGCAGCAAAAAAACATGCTGGTTGACAAAATCTCTCGAAAGACATAAATGAATTCTGAAAAAAAGGTCCGCAAATACGTTGCATTCCTCACGGGAGGTGAGGACTGGCTCAATGTCAATCCACCTGGGAAGAACACGCTGGTTCTGATAAAAGTTTTGAGAATATAACCCTATGCCTGGATCAACTACCGCTTAAAATCAAATTCACAAAGGAAAAGAGAACACTGAAAACCCTGGTTCTGAGTCGAGAAGCGAACACGCTACCTCAAAGTAAATCGAGCTGCAAAGAACAAGCTGGTTCTGACAAAAATTTGAGCGTAAAACCCTATTCCTTGATCAGCTGCTGCTTTAAACACAATTTATAAAGCAAACCAGAGTACTAATTGCCCTTTCAAACTAGAAATCGTATTAAAGCTTGCTCACCTGTTAGTTTCTCTCGAACAGACAACGAACAGCTGCTCAGTGAATCATCCAATTTCGGACCACGAGTTGCAAATATAAGACAATGACGTCACTACCAAAATATGGAGTTTTACTTACACCCAAATATGATCAAAAATGCGAATTTTAGAGAGTTACGCAGAATTTGAGAGTTTTTGCCCACATTGCGGGGCGTTATAATTCTGCCGCCGAGGCAACCTCGCTTCTTAGCTCGGTTGCCTCGTTGGCAATTACCGCGTGTTTTGATACTGTTTTGCATGTTACGCCAGACTTTTTATGAGAATAGGCCGTTTGTACTTTGACAACATTTTACTAGTACGACCAGAATCCTTTAGGGTTTTTCTTTCTTCTGCAAATTAGGGCTTTTATTATTTACTGTGAAACTCACAAAACCGTGAACACCAGAAATATTTATGAAATGTTATTGTTTTGCGAGAAATTAGCCAATAAGGAGCGAGATAACTAAACCGCAAACAGCAACGGTAATTAGTTTGTGGTTATAAGGTTTGCTTGCGTATCGTGAACTTAATTGCAATTGGCTAGTACACAATCAACATTGCTGAAATTTTTCAGGTGTTCACGGTTTTCTGAGTTTGACAGTAAACTTCAATGTCATTACAAAATTTAAATATGAAAGGGAAAAAGAAAAGGATTCTGGTCATAGTAGTAAAACGACGCCATCGTGCAAATGACCTACTTCACAAATATAGAGATAAACTTCGCTTACGTCCATCAGTCTAGTTTGTCCGTCCCTCCCTTCGTCCTTCCATCCGTGCAATCGAACCGTTTATCCAATCCATCTATCCAGTCAGTCTGTCCGTTCTTCCTTCTAGTCTGTCCGTCAAGTCTATCCGCCCCTCCAGCCCGTGCGTCCGTACTGTCCGTCTGTCAAGTCCAATCTATCCGGTCCTTCCCGTCCGTCCGTCCATCTAGTATCTAGTCCATCCACTACATTTGTACACTCTGCCCAGTCCGTCTGTCCGTTCGTCCGTGCGCACGTCCGTCCGACCTTCCATCTGTGCGTTCGTTTGTTTAGTTTGTCCGTCCATCCATCCAATTCATCTGTCCATCCAATCAATCCGTCCGATTGTCCGTTTGACCGATCCATCCGTCCAGTCCGTCCACCCGTCCACCCGTCCATCTAATCCGTCCGTTCGTCTGTCTAATTTGTCTGTCCGGAGGACTTAAAGAAATCAGAAACGGAGACATTTTTTAAATGAATTATAAATTTATTAATTTACAAAAAAACAATTGGAGTTATCATACTTTGTAAATTTAGGATTTAGATAAGCTACTAGCTTCTCTGCAGACCTAAAGCTACGGTCAAACGGACAACAAAAACGTGCGACTTCCTTTTCAACATTGCTGCAAAACGACTTGAGAAGCTATGTCTATATACGACACTAGGCAAAAACAAAGCAAAAAACAAAACATTGGGAAAAGAACCAAAAACAATAGGCTGAACGGTGTCTTGTGTTGCCTTGATGACTAAGCCTCTTTGGTGTCACGGAACTGCAGTTCACCTCTAACAAGAAACCAAAAACAAAATGATAAATATAAACTGAAACACCATTTTAAAAATTTTCCACCATGGAAAGTTTTTGTGATGGTCTGACTTTAGATTGTGTGGTGAAAAATATTTGATTTTAACGACCGGATTAATTCTAGCCGTACTAGGCTCTAAAACGGTGCTCACAGTACTCACAGTATAACGTTTGGAGCGCCACGATAACCATACAGCATTGTGCTTCTGTTGACACAAAAGAACGGTTGTGGCGGCGCGATTTGTGTGACGGAACGAGAGTGGAGCGTCACATATGGGATAGGTTTTATCTATATTTTAGTGCAGTGTGAACACGTATTCGGTTTCCTCGCGGAAGTAAGAGTTCGCTTGCTTTTGACAAAGTAAATAAGTTGGAGTAATCACGATAGAGATTAAAAGAACACATATTCACTTTTTAAGCCACGTTTTCGTGGCCTTCGCCGTCGTGCTATCTTAAACTCCCCATTGGATATATTCGTGTGAACGACTTTGGGGCTGCCCACCATGGGCCTCTTCTGTCCATACTATACCAGATAGTTTCCCTGGGAGATAGCTTTTCGTGGCGCCACGAAAGGCTATCCGGTATAGTTCAACCCTTTCACTGCCAAATTTAACCAAAAGCAAATTTTGAAAAACAGATAGCATCGTGTGAAAGAACAGGCAAAGAGCTTTGATTTGAATGGTCACATCATAGGATTTCATCCACAGACTCAAAAGTTAGAGTCCCCTTAAAATCTCCATCAAGCATTCTCGCAGTGAAAGGGTTAAAACATAGCCTAAGATGGTAGGGACGTCGTGAAAACAAGGTGCACGTGGCCTGCGATTTTTTTTTCGTATCTGCATTTACGATCTCTGCACATTACAATTTTTGAGCCTGGAACAGGCTAGGTTAAGGGCTGTTCACATGGAGGTGGGGGACCTCAGGTAGGTGAGGTAAACCGCTTAGGTGGGGCAACCCGCCTGTCCATATAATCGCTCGTTTTAAGTTGATCACGTTTACATGATAAGTGGGGTGACCCGCCACATTTTACCCCACCTATCTGGGGTCCACCACCTCCAAAAAGGAACTCATCCCTGTTGTGCACTAAGCTCGTAAATTCTAAAGCCGATGGGTTTTGATCCAAATTATAATAAAGAAGAGAAGTGTGTTAAAGCTGAAATATCATCATATTTACCCATCATACAAAGGGTTTACTGCTCCTTCTAGAGGTTCCTGGCCAGATCTGCAAATCAAAAATACGTAACATGTAATTAAATAAAATAACAGCGCTTTGTATAGGTAATAGCATGATTTGTAGTGATATTTGGCATAAAGACCACGAGTGATATTTCAAAATTGTTATACGTAATTTCACGAGCCGTTAGGCAAGTGAAATTTGAGACAATTTGGAAATATCACGAGTGGTATTTATGCCAAATATCACGTCCAAATCATGCTATTATTTGTTTATACTACTACCCGCAAAAGGTTTGTAATTTTCACATGTAGGTATTTCAAATTAAGCAGAAATACCGCTACTATAAGCCAATCAAATGACTGAAATTTCTCAAGTAGTAGTATAAAAGAAATAATGGTACATAAAACGGCACTGGGTTGCCCCTCTGGGTGGAGCCCCTTTACCCCCGTATAAAACTTTGCCGGGCCAGGAAAACTGACTTAAGTATATTCATTTTAAGATTACTTACTTCTGGAATGTCACTTGCTGAATCTCCAAGTTTTTATTTGATCTCCTTCTGTCATAAAATAAGCAGAAAAACGATAGCATTGTCATGGCTGCATATACAGTCCGGGGAAGGGAGGGGGGGAGTACTCAGGATTTCAAGTGACAGGGATGATAGAATGGGGGCAAAAATCAAAACCCGAAAAAATCCCTAGGGCTTCAAACAAATTCCAGGAAAATCCCTGAACCAAAATTTCACGCTGAATTTCCGAGCCAAAATAATCTTTTCGCGGAACTACGCGGCCGGGATACGTGGGAACTATCTCGAATCTTGAGATTGTTTTGAATACCCCAAAAAATGCCTACTTAAATCAAGCTACCCAGAAAAATACCTGACAAAATTTTCCAATCCAAAAATATCCTGAAATCGAAAATTTGAAACCCCCCCAAAATCTTTGATCATCCCTGTCACTTTAAATCCGGAGTACCCCTCCCCACTGGGACAGACAGCGCTCTAGTACCCGACTGGTTTTATTTTCACTAAGTTCCTATTTGCTTCCGTGTTATAACAAATTGAACGAAATGAGTTCAAACGAAAGCCAAAATTCCAACTGTTTTCCTGGCAAGCGAAAGGAAAAACGTAGCACAAAAATTTCCTGTTTTGGCCTTTACACTAGAGAGTGTTAGCGTTGACAACACAATCGTAATTGATTTGAAGTCGATTTCTGCGCCTGTCACGTAAGCGAGTATTTCGAAATCAAATCGAAACTGTTGCTCCTGATCCTTTAAAAATCTCGTTCTCGCCACCTCGACTTTTCGATGAAAACTTGCCGTAAAAACGACTAGAGCATGTGCAGCTGCGAAGAACCGATGCGCTCAATCGGCAAACTCGTTGTCAACGCTTACATTCTCTATTTATCTTCAGGGCACCGCCATTTTGAATTTTTTGACGTTTTCCTGCTGCTTTAGCTCTTTACGAAAGAAAGTCGATTCCTCTTCAATCTCCAATTTTCAGTTTCCATTTAACTACATCTGTTGCAGGTTCTCTTAAAAAATGTATCATGGCGTTTCTAGTGAGGCGTGATCCTACCTTCTCCAGTAGAAGAATCCAACCAATAATATAAGGGCGACTAAAACGAAAACAACCACTGGCGCGACGATCGCCGAGATCTTGGAATCTGAAAAGAGTTTACAAAACACTCTTCAGGAGAAAATACGGGTCGGTTATTATTTTATTTAAATGAAGTCTAACTTAGACCACGGTTTAGGAATTCTTTGGACCTCCAGATCCCTTCCTTAGTGAGTGATTTTAAGAAGACAAATGCTTTTCTAGTCTACGCCATGTGCTATCATGAAACTGTTCACGATGGGTTTACGTAAAAGCGTTCGGCAAACTGAAAATGGCTCAGAACACGGTTATAATTAACACTGGCTGAACACTGGCAAAACTCTCTGGAAAAGTGGAAACTGGCCGAAAAAATCTACTGAAGGCAATGCTTACACAAATTTTTTTTGGGGGGGAAATAAGGTGCATTATGGGAAATGTAGAAGTGGCGTATTGGTTTTACAAATTTAAATAAGAAGGCAAAAAAAAAATTCTGATAGTTGTTGTCCAATACCTTCATCATGAAAATGGCCTATTAGTATAGGTAATAGCATGATTTATAGTTATATTTGGCACAAATACCACCAGTGATATTTCGAAATTGTTAGACATAATTTCACGAGCAGTTAGACGAGTGAAATTTGAGACAATTTTGAAATATCACAAGTGGTATTTATGCCAAATATCACGTACAAATCATACTATTATTTGTTTATACTACTACCAACAAAAGGTTTGTAATTTCAACATGTAGGTATTTCAGATTAAGCTGAAATACCACTGCTCTAAGCCAATCAAATTGCAGAAATTTCTCATGTAGTAGTATATATATTAGAGTAACGATAACGTTCATTATAATAATAATGGTGTATGGAAATAAATCGCTGCAAGTTTTTGGAAAACTACCGAGGTCCTTAACGTTCGCGTCAAGAAAAACTACCTAGCAAAGCTATACTAAAAAGAACTCAACGAACTGAAATCCAGCCATAACGCTTGAAGACGTCAAAGACTCGATACAAAAGAGGAGCAATAGTGGAACAGTGATGGTGGAACAGAGTGGTGCAACTGTCGAACAGTGTTGGTGAAACAGAGGGACAATGATGGTGGAACAGTGTAAAGGAACAGTAGAACAGTAATAGTGGAACAGTGATGGTGGAACAGTGTGGTGCTACAATGGAACAGTGGGACAGTGATGGTGGAACAGTGTAGTGGTACAGTGGAACATTGTTAATAAAACAAGGAAGTGGAACAGTGAAAAAGTGATGGTGGAACAGTGGCACAGTGTTAGTGGAACAGTGATAGTGGAAAAGTGGAAATATGTTGGTATAACAGTGTTGCTAGAACAGTGGAACAGTGTTGGTGGAACAGTGAGGTGAAACAGTGCTGGTGGAAGAGCGTGGTGGAACAGAGGAACAGTGTTGGTAGAACAGTGGAACAGTGTTGGTGGAACAGTGTGGTGAAACTGTGGAACAGTGATGGACGAACAATGCGGTGGAACAGGGGAACAGTCTTGGTGGAACACTCATAGTGGAAAAGTGAAACAAGGATAGTGGAACAGTATGGTGGAACAGTGGAATAGTGATGGTGGAACAGTGATAGTGGAACAGTGGGGTAGAAAAGTGGAACAGTGTTGGTTGAACAGTGAAACAGAGATGGTGGAAAAGTGTGGTGGAAAAGTGGAACAGTGTGGTGGAACAGTTTTGGTGGAACAGTGGAACAGTGATGCTGGAACAGTGTAGGTGGAACAATGTTGGTGGAACACTAAGGTGGAAGAGTGAAACAGTGTTGGAGGAACAGTGGAACAGTGATAGTGGAACAGTGGGGTGGAAAGTGGAACAGTTTTGGTTAAACAGTGAAACAGTGATGCTGGAAGCGTGGAACAGTGATAGTGGAACAGTGTGGTGGAACAGTCTTGGTGGAACAGTGAGACAGTGATGCTGGAACAGTGTACGTGGAACAGTGATGCTGGAACACTGAGGTGTAACAGTGCTGGTGAAAGAGTGATGGTGAAACAGTGTGGTGGAACCGTGGAACAGTGATGGTGGAACAGTGGAAGAGTGTTTGTGGAAGAGTGTGGTGGAACAGTGGAACAGTGTTGGTGGAACAGTGTGATGGAACTCTGGAACAGTGTTGGTGGAATAGTGGAACAGTGATGGTGGAACTGTGTGGTGGAACAGTGGAACAGTGATGGTGGAACAGTGTAGGTAGAACAGTGGAACAGTGATGGCGGAACAGTGCGGTGGAGCAGTGGAACAGTGTTGGTGGAATAGTGGAACAGTGAAAGGTGGAACAGTGGAATAGTGATGGTTGAACAGTGTGGTGCAACAGTGGAACAGTGTTGGTGGAATAGTGGGGTGGAACAGTGGAACAGTGTTGGTGGAATAGTGGAACAGTGTTGGTGGAACAGTGGAACAGTGATGGTGGAACAGTGTAGGTGGAACAGTGACAGTGAAATAGTTAGGTGGAACAGTAAAACAGTGTTTGTGGAACAGTGTGGTGGAACAGTGGAACAGTGTTGGTGGAACAGTGTAATGGAACAGTGGAACCGTGTGGTGGAACAGTGGAACAGTGGAACCGTGGAATAGTGGAACAGTGAAAGTGGAACAGTGTGGTGGAACAGTGGAATAGTGATGGTTGAAGAGTGTGGTGCAACAGTGGAACAGTGTTGGTGGAATAGTGTGGTGGAACAGTGCAACAGTGTTGGTGGAATAGTGGAACAGTGTTGGTGGAGCAGTGGAACAGTGATGGTGGAACAGTGTTGGTGGAACAGTGATGGTGAATGAGGGATTGGCCTTTGGAAAAGGCCAATTTTGCTGTTGGGTGAAATTCACGTTTCTGTTATCTAGAGTTATCTAGAAAGTCTTGAAAGGCTTCCACAGGTACATTTTCTTGGTCTATTTTGCATAAAAACAAAAGTTGAGGAAAACTACATGGAGCTTGCAATTCAGCATCCAGGCACTTTCGGGGAAACTAAAGAAAACCATCTCGCTATTAAAAAGTCATTTAGCCGCAATGCAAAGCTGTGCTTCAAAAGAACTCAACGAACCAAACCAAACTACTTGAAGACGTCAAAGACTCGAATAGAAGAGCAAAAAAACACAGACAATCAATCATCAGGAATTAAAATTGAAAACACACGGCTTTATATTTAACGACAAACAACGTTTGCTAAGTTCAATCAAAACAGAGAATCTTCCCGTATTATAATCCATTCTCTTTGGCTAGAAAGAAAAGAAACAGAGCGAGCGGATTTTTAATAAGGGAGCCGTAAAAAGTCCTGACAACAAAGCCAAACTAAAGAGTATTTTCACTGAAGTGTTTTTTAATTCGGTTTTTTGATTACCTTTTCTCCGTTGCGACGCAGATCTTCCTAGTTTTCCTTCCGGTTTTTCGTTTCCAGTGGAACTAATTTTTTCACTCGATGTTGTCTTTGTAGTTTGTTCCGTTGGCGGTGCAGTCGTAGTTGAAGAGGGAACTACATAAAAACAGAGTATAAAAAATTCCCTTAGGGGTTTGTTAAATGCATCATCATCATCATCATCATCATCATCATAAATAATAATAATAATAACAATAATAATACGGTAAGTTGAGTCTGCCTGATATTTTTGGAAGCGCACAGTTGTCAGCCATCGTTGGTGCTGCCAATATCTGCGGAAATTGTTGTCTCTAAGCTGCGCGTGGGATTGCCGCTGAACTGGAGAGGATCACACCATAATAATAATAATTACTTTATTTAACCTTAGCAGTATTTATAGCACCATTTTGGCATCGGGAGAGCGCGTAACCTCCTTCACTAAACATAACAATGCTAACTTTTCCAGTGAAAAATGGTAAAATGAAGCTTTCCGGGAAGTTTATATTTTGACAAGACGCGGAAAAACTTCAAGTCGAATCTCGAAAGCGTAGTCGTCCTCGAGTCTAAAGGTCTCTAGTTAAACGGAGAGAGAACAGGGTGTCCAATAGGGTTCTCCAATCCCGTAATCTCGACCCAAAATTTCGTGCAATCCCGTAATCCCGAGGGTTATTTCGAGCATTCTAACTTGCGCGCATACTTTCAATCCCGAATCTTGCCCGATTTTGCTTTAAAATCCTGAATCCCGAGCTTCAAATAAGGGAAATCCCGGATCCCGATAGACCTATTGGGGACCCTCAAGATTGACTAGTTCAGAAGTTTAGGCTGCGGTGACTTCAAAGTTTTGACTTGATTCAGGCAGAGTCTCTCTTCTTCTCTTTACACAGGAAGGCAAAAGAATACTCTGCTAGCAGCATGACTCGAAAATATTTTGCAAGGAAATTTTCTCCTTACTAACCTGGACATCCATATATCTCCAGTCTCATTGATATCTGATTGTGCCACTCCACTGGTAAGATACGGATTAGACGTGCTGTGATTGGTGGGGCTAACACGTTATACACCACGGTATCGCTGTCGTGATTTGCGTAAAATACCTTTAGAACAAAGATGAAAGAGAACAGTTGGGTTATTCCTGTTTAGCAGACATTTTAAGGGATTCAGGGTAAGGTTCTAAAGAGCCTTCGAAAAAGGGTGCAAATAATATAACTATTGTCCCACAAGTATAAACCTCCCTTCGACTTCTTTAGCGAAGAAATACAAAATAATTGCCTTTCGGGCAGGAGGAAAAGCAAACTAATGATTTACCTGCACCCGAACCACATAGAACGATATCGCTCAAGATGCCATTTAACCCTTGAAGCCCTAAGATCAAAATTTGAATTCTCATTTGTTGTCCCTATTCATTTCCTACAGAAGTAGTGGGGAGGAAATTCTTCTTGTGTGATCATATCCGTAATTCTCATGATCACTCTGTTTTACAAAGCATTGATATTACAAGGAGAAATTTGATGCTGATCAATCTTAGGGCGTAAAGGGTTAAATTACTTGAAGATTTTTCCCCACATGACTCTTTCGCCCAAAGGGCCATTGCCTTCCCTGCGAGAGGTGTTGTGATCATGTGACCTCTTCGCTCCAGCCTTTAGTAGTTTATCGAAGTCCTAATACCGGTAGGTTAAAAAGGTATACGCCGCTGGAAAGGGTGGGGTTTTCAAGCAC